CAGAAAAGGAAATGTCACTTGTTGGCTTCAAACTAGCTGAACCGGTTTTTCTGGTTGCAGTTGGCTGAGGGTCGATTGTTGTGATTTTTTCAGCCAGCCTCTCTCAGGATCCAGACACTTGGCGCCTCTCCCCAGCTCCCTACAATGGGGAACTAGGACTTCCTCACAGCACTCCCCTCCCAGGGGTTACCGCCATGGGCTGATTTGCTGTGTTTGCAGGTACCTGCACCAGCCTAGTTGCCTGGTTTACTCGGGATTGAGCATAGACCTGCCCCTGTTCTTTGGGGAAGCTCTAGACCCTCTGCCCAATCTCGGGTTTGCTTCCAAGCTGGGTGTGAAGCAGACCAGGCTGTTGTGTCTATTGGATTCAGTGCCCCATGCTGTACCTCTGAGTTCTCCTGCGCTGGCAACCACAGAGTCCTTGGTTGGGGCCCTTTGTCCTCCACACCCTCTCCGCAAACTCTATCAAACAAGTCTCTCCTGGCATCCTACCTTGCTTGGCCAGAAAGGGAGGGGGGTGAGGGTCTCAGCTCCTTTCCCAGGGCCCCTAAGCGGCTGGGGCTTCCAGATAGTCTGAGGAGGGTGGACTGGAAGCCGGAGCCGATCTGAGGACTGGGCGCCGACCTAGAAACTCTGTGTGCACGTCATGGCATGCTGCGTGGTGTGTATCCCTTCTGCTCCTGTGTTTGTCTGGGTCCCCTGGCCAACCTCTGCCAAAAAAACCCTAAAGATGGAGCAGCACCAAGCCGCGCGCTGGACCCAGAACTGTGTGCAGGCTGAAATCTCCTCTGCTCCCCTCTGGGTCTCTTGGCAGGTCCGAGCCCAAAAATCCTAGGGAGGGAGCTTTCTGGGTGCTGAACGTTGGCCTAGGTGCCCTCAGTCACTCGCCCAGGTACACTGCTTGTCGGGCCACTAGTTCCCCAAATTGCGTGCAGGCTGAAAGCCCTTCCACACCTCTTTGCCTGGGCCACTTGGCCTTCCCGGTGGAAAAAGTCCCAAAGAGAGAGCCATCTGGGGGCTGAACGCTGTCCCAGGTGCCGTTAGGCACTCTCCCAGACACAGTTCCCACCAGGCGCAGGACCTCTGAACTATGCACAGGCTGAAATCACCTCTGCTCCCCTCTGGTTGGGCCACTTGGCAGGTCCCGGCCCAAAAATCCTAGGGAGGGAGCCGTCTGGGCGCTGAATGCCATCCCATGCGCCGTTGGGCTCTTGCCACTGGGCACTGGTTCCCCTGCCCTGCACCGGCTGTTTCTCTTTGCTCCATCCCAGAGACTACTGTACCGCTGCTGTCTCCCTACCGTCTGGTTCCTCAGTGACCAATGAGGTTTCTGGTCTCTTATTTTCATATATGCTTGGCAACTTCTGGCTTGCTGGTTTCATCTCCTCCAATCGGACAGGTTTCTCTCCCTTTTGTACTAGGAACTGGTATCTGCTGCATCCTAGTCCATCGCCATCTTGAACCCTTCTGAATATCCATTGTTACAATCAACCTGATAGTCACTTGGCTGAGGTGCACTCTTCAGTGTAGAGTTAATAGTTTTTCTTTGTCATTAAAAAGAGTCTGGCAGAAAACTATTGAGCAATGTGAAAAAAACTATTGCATTTCATCTGGACACTTTTGTTGTCTTTTTATCTTTTATTTACTTTAAAAAATGAAGGCCCTACATTTATTTCATAGAGATCATTGGCTTTTGACAGGAAGGATGTAATCAGTGAGGCCTTGTTCCTGTACACACTTGTTATATTGCACACTCACATCACAGACATACTGTACATGATCACTTTTCATATTTTCAGGTATTTTACATGAATCATACCATAAAAATACATTTAATTCAGTTCAATGGGTAAGATCTAACAGTCCACAAGTGATACTGAGACATTTTCAAGAAAAAAAACACTAAAATGCAATAGCTCTAACTTCTTTTCTATCAATATGTTTGTATTTCTTTATTGTGTTTAGAAAATGCAAAGAGGACATTTCAGAGAGAGATTCACCAGATTTAAGGAACCACAAAATAATCTAGATTACACTGATATAAAATTCTTCATTGTATTACTTTTCATCTGTACCTAGTTTCCATATGTAAGAGTATGTCTGACTATGTGCATAAAATGTTAACAATTGAGTTTTTTGTCTTTTTACTCTCTTAAGATGTTTTCATTTTGCTCAGTTACAAACAAAGCAGTGAACTTTCATGAGATCTCTATGTGCAGTTGCTTGTGTTTTTTTTTAAATTGTAGGTCAATTTTGGTGCAAAACTCAAGGTCTGCCTTTTACTGTATGTTTTAGAAAACATTCTCATATCAAGAATAATCTTGTTGTTTAAGTAATTATACTTTCATATAATTGTAGCTGGTATGTTTCTTACCTCTGGGGAAATATAAATTGTATAAAATCCATTATACCCAAAGTCATGTGTGACTTATTTTTTGTGTTTTCCTTTCTGTGCAATTCAGAAGAATGGCACATGTGCCAGAAAACATGGGTTCATTAGTGAAAAGTGAGCTTGTCCTACTGGCCAAGATGGAGCAATAGGTTGATATGTTTTTCTTCCTTGCACAAACAAAAAATAACAACCAATTAAAAACAACAAAGCACCAAATGTGCACAAGATAGAACTATATGGGGTGTGACAACCAAGCAGTTAAAAAGGAAACCTTCATCCAGACTAATAGGAGGGACAGATAAAGAATTAGTGTGGAGATGACTCACAGTAAGTTGGCAGCTGGCATACCAGGACTGTGAGGAAGTGACTGGAGGACTGGAAAAGGGAGGGGAAAGTTTGTGGACCTGATGGTTCTACACTCAAATGCAGATAAACCAGGAGAACAACAGAGGAGTGAGAGAGACACCACAATCCAGGGTTAGAATGTGGGAAACTAAAGCCACAAAACCTCTGCCTTTAAAAACCTGTGAAACTTGCAACAGCAAGAGAACCTCTCAGTCTCACAGAAAATTCTATTGCATGGATCCTAGAATTTACACAAGACCATTCACTACAAAATAAGCACCAGAAAGTGCAATTTGCTTGAGGTAGTGAGAGAATTGCCTAAAAAAGGGTGAGAGATGAGCAAGCAGGATTGTTTCCTCTCTGAACCCTCCCCCACAAAGAGCACCACAACACAGCAAAGTGGATAACCCTGCCCTTGCAAATACCTAAGGTTTCACCCCCAGGAGTGTACCAGGTAAAAAGGGACAGAGATATATAGCCCAAAAGAAAAGAATCCATCAACATTCTAGCAAAAGCTGACTGGAGGGAATGGCTCATGGAATGAACTGCCAGCTTGTCAGGTAAAGAGTCTCTGGTTAAATTCTAGGTTAGTGGTTATGTCTGGGTTGCTGGCCAATTCCCCAGTACGGGGCATGTTAGAGGCAATCAAACATTTATGTTTCTCTTACTCTCTTTCCTTCTCCCTCTCCATACTCCAAAAATATATAAATATTTTTAAAACAATGAACTAAGCACCAAGGAGGTAGGCAACAACTCCATGCAAAGTTCGAAACACTAGTAATCAGGGTGCTCATAGAAATGGTTAAGCAGAGCCAGAAAATAAAGTAAGAAGTGCATGCTCTACAAAATAAAATACAGAAACATACACAGAATACCAACAGAGAAAGGAAGGAAACCAGGACTCAAATCAGTAATTTGGTAAAAAAAAAAAAATGTAAATATTCAACCAGGGTAGAATGAAGAAATGAAAATTTTAAAAAAAAGAGGAAAGGTTTAGTAACTCCGGGACAACTTGAACCCTTCTAACACTTTAGTTATATGGGTGCCAGGAGGAGAAGAGGAAGAATTTAAATGGAAAACTGATTTGAAAAATAATGAAGGAAAACTCATTGTGTCTGGTGAAGGAAATAGTCATGCAAGTAAAGGAAGTTCTCAGAGTTCCAAAGAAGTTGCTCCCAAGAAGGAACACACCAAGACACATCAAAATTCCATTACCCAAGAAAAAAATAGAGAGGGAATCTTAAACCCCACAACACAAAATGAGAATGACGTACAAAGTGGTTCCTATAAGACTAGGACCTGATTTGTCAAAAGAATTCTTGTAGGCCAGAAGGGGCTGAAAATAAGTATTCAAAGTCATGTAAGACAGGGGCCTATATCCAACATTAATCTAACCAGCAAAGCTATCATTTAGAACAGAAGAACAAATCAAGTGCTTCCCAGGTAAGGTCAAGTTAAAGGAGTTCATCACCACCAAGCCCTTATATGAAATGTTCAAGGGAGTTAATCTAAAAAAAAGAAGATAATAAAAACAAACAAATAATGAAGACAAGAAACTCACAATATTAACAACTGAACCTATAAGGCAACACCAAAACAAACACAGAATAAGCAAACAATTAGAAGAGGAACAAATTTTTCAAAATAGGAGATTATATAGAGGGTCAAGAGGAAGGATGGGGCAAGAGGAAAATGGGAAAGAAGGTACAGGGAAGAAGAAGCATAAATGGTGGTAACAAAAATCAGAGGAATTTAAAATAGTATAAGAAGTGCAGAAGTCATGGAACTTATTTGTATGACCCATGGACATGAACATAATCAGGCAATTACAGAGCAGGTGGGTTGCAGGGTGGAGGTGGGAATTGGGGGAAAAATGGGACAGTTGTAACAGCATCATCAATAAAACATACTTAAAGAAGAGAGCTTCTGTAAATGTGGAAACAGAGGCCTCATCCACAACTCTTAAATCAAAATCTGCATTTTAACAAAACTGCATTTTTGGTTGCCTGAATGAAACCTAAAGAAGTTACTTACATTTTTAACACACCATGCCTTTTGTAGCAGAGAAGTATACATAGCTGATTCTAAATTATACAAATACAACCCTCAACAGTCCATATGCCTGTGTCTGTTCCTTCATTTTAAAGTTTCTTTTCCTGAAAAACAGTGCCTTTGCATTGGATTTGTAGACATGAATTGTCCTCACTTGTCATTGTTACAAAATACATTAGAGAGCATTAAAGGGTCAAAGTGGCCTTACTGAATGATTCAGGTTATCTCCCAGGTAAAAATCACTTGTAGTACTTTTCATGTTAGATGACACTGAGACCTGTACTGTTGTCTCCTTCATAAATTTGCCCCTTTTTTTCCAGCCATCTTTGACCTTCAAGGACGTGTCAATAGATTTCTCTCAGGAGGAATGGGAATGCCTGGACCCAGCTCAGCAGAAACTGTACTCAGATGTGATGCTGGAGAATTACAGCAACCTGGTCTCCCTGGGTGAGCCTGACTTCCTTCACATTTCCTGCTCCATTCACTGCATTTTCTGTATATAGCATCTTTTGCAGACTTGACTCTGTATGGTAGACTTTCAGATTCATGATGACAAGGGAGAACTCGGTGGTTATCTCCTGTAGAAAATAGAGGTTTCCAGAACTATGGTCCTTAGAGACTCACTGAAAAATGTACATATTAGAACAATTAAGCTGCTACCAGGAAAAAGGATGATCTTCTAGAATATTTCCATTTTCCTGCAGTGTTCTTACCAGAGCACAACGTGGTTTGGAAATGGGGAATCTTTAAAAAATAATAATATTTCCTTTGTACACAGGTCTTGTTGTTTCTAAGCCTGTCCTGGTCACGTTTTTGGAGCAAATGCAGGATGGCTGGGATGTTTCCAGAAAAATTCCAATATCTGACCTCTCAGGTAGGTGAGAATTCAGATGGAGATGGCACAAATGAGTAACACAAAAGTCTCTGAGAAAGCCAGGCCTTCAAGTGTGTTTTGGGAAGCTGTGCTTCAGTGGAAAGGATTTTGAAAAGTTCAGGCTTATTTCTGTTGCTGTCATAGAGGGACAGGTCACCTCCAACAGTATTTCAGGCTCCTACATGCTTTCAGAATTCTGTTTTGACCCCAGTGACCTCTGTTATTCTACTAACATTTTTGGCTCTAGCCCTCGCTCTCTAAAAATATATACATACAAGCATTAAAAAAGTTTACAGTATATACAATTAAGCTATTTTTGGACTGCGAGGATGACCATGGTCTTGCTCCTCTTGCATTGCTTTGGGGACTCAGAAAATCTTTGCATGTTGCTGAGATATTGTACGTCAAGCCTTTTTCTTTAAATTTTGTTTTTGTTCCAAGAATGGAATTCATAAAAGAAGAGGTCAGCATCCTGGAATTTTTCACCGAAAATTCAGAACCCTGGGGACAGGTGTCACGTTTTCTGACTTACAATTTTTAACCCTCTGGGGTTGCAAACAAATCCCTACTAAGTATAGACTCAGTGATATTCTTGTAGTGTAATGCAGCTCCCCAACATGAAAAAATCTGCTTTTCTGTTTCTCTTCCAAATGTCCTTGTGCTTGTGGAAATGTACCATAATTTCTTGATCCAGTCATTTACTGATGGGCACTTACCTAGCTTTCAGGATTTGGCTATTGTGAATTGAGCTCTTATTAACATTGGGGTTCACAAATTCTTTTCAATTGGTGTGTCATTGTGCTTAGTGTAGAAGGATCTCCTAACTTTTGGGACAGTATGGACAGATCTGGAGAGCATTTATGGTAATGAAATAAGCCAAGTGGTGAAAGACAAATACCATATCCTCTCACCTATAACAGGAAAGTAATCATCAAAACAAGCAAGCAAGAAAAATATAAATCGAAACATTGTAATAAAGAACAAACTGATAGTAACCAGAAGGGAGTGGGAGGGGGTAATGAGGAGTGAGCAGGGCCAGAGTTTTCAGGAATCAATGTAAAAAATTTTAAAAAGATCACATGGACAAAATCTATTGGGAAGTGGAAATGGGAGGGACAGGGGAGGATTGGAGGTGGGCTGTGATTGGAGTAAAAGATAGAAAGCTGTAGTTGAACAACAATTAAATTTTAAAAAGACACATGAGAACAACTAAAAACAGTAGGATCCATGGAGGGAAGTGGGGATTGTTGTGTTGAGTGGAAGGGATGGGGAAATAAGGAGATAAACTGCATTTGAACAACCATAAAAAATGTAGAAAGCAAATGTTCTTTTGCTTTGGCTGTGCCCTGACTGGAAATAGAATGAGCAACCTTTGGTTTGCAGACCAGCGCTCCATTCACTGAGAAACACCAGCCAGGGCTAGTTTTTTGTAGATGCACTCTAGTTTTCAGATTTGACCTTGTTTTTTTGTGTCTTGTCTTAATATATTTGTTGAGTTTCAGAACTGTAAACAACTGTCCTTTATGAACTTGCTTTCTCCAGGTTAAGAGTAAAATACATAATATTCACCCTTAATTTAAGCTCTAATTTCTGTAAACCCAGGCGGTGTGTTTGTTTTTTAGTGTTTTTAAGTTGCCAGTTTTATGTAATGCTTTTTTTCTTTTCAAAGCCCATGATATCTTTCTCTGCTTGATATTGATCTTCAGTCCACTGGCCTGTGTCATTTCAACTCTTTCTCTTTCTTTTTAGTGTGCAGTGTAATGTGTTCACCATGTGCTGTCATGGCCTGAGCACTGTGTGCTCTACAAAACAGAAACACATATTTTGAAGACGCAGAAAAGCAGTGAGATCATTGAATGCACTGGACCCTCTATCTGTCTAGAAAACAATGAGAATGTAGAGTTTATTTTTTCCTCTTTCCATTGTTTGCCAAGGGAGATGAACACTGTGGTTTACAAGAGCAAACAGCCATTATTCTCCTTCTTTATGACTTTTTATCATTGTACAACACTTCAACCTCCTGCAAGTATTTAAGTTTTTGAAGTACTCAACAATGTGATTAGTTTAAAAATTCCTTGTAAGGTCAATGTACATTCACCTGTGTGTCATACCTGTGAACTTTTCTTTTATGTCTCTCAGCTGTGTCATCTGCAGACAACCAGTACTTTTTCGAAAGTCCAGGAATAGAAGATCTATATTTTGAAGGAACACTGGTAAGATATTTGAGGTGTGCCTGTGATACTAATGAGGAAGTTTATGACAAGAAAAAAAGGATATTTCTATGGAGAAATTAACTTTTAAAAATATTTCATGAAAACTTGTTTTTATCTAAAGATGTCAAAATACTACAAATTTGGTGGAATTTCTTGCTTCAATTAGTTACCTTTACAGACCACTGTATGTTCCAATAGGAATGCTGAAAATAATATTCTAAGTGTATGTATTCTGCTAAAGGACAGGTGGCAAACACGACCACCAGGCTGAATGTGGCCCTCAACCTTCTTTTCTCTAACCAAGACCCTTGTTTCTACCTGGAGGCAGAGCCAAACTCCTTTCTCTTAGATAAGGAGTAGTAATATTTACAGTGCACTGAAGGCAACTGTGAGGCTGATGTTGCCCATGGTGAAAATGAGTGTGACACTGCTGTTGTAGAGATGGTCTGGAAATTCTAGGATGTCTAACAATTAGTAGTGTGGGTAATCATTTGAATTGCTTAAAATGTGTAGTGTGAATTCAGTCAGTAAGCTTAAGTGTGATCAGTTTGACATTCCCTTACTTCAGTAAATATTGTATTTTTGTAGAAATAATGTTTTCTTTTATTCCACTGTATAATATTTTTTGAAGTTGAGTATGATTTCTAATACAACCAATGAGGTTTTATATGGGCCACAGAATGGCTATTTAGGAGTAAGTGGACATGTTTAATGAATTATAGATGATACTAATAAAACTTTCTGTGTTCAATGTTTACCAGAGTGTGTGTGATGAGGATAGAAGTAGTCAATGCAGTGAACATTGGAAGAATTTTACCCATGAGTCAAATCATAATGTCCAGCCAAAGAGTCAGCTTGCAGACAGCCACTATGAAAGTGGAAAAGTCTTTGACCAAATTTTAAATGACAATTCTCATCAGGTTTTACCTGTTGAAGAGAAGACAAACGAGCAAAGTAAAAATATCAAATGCTTGAAGCAATCATCAAATAGCATCGAAGAAATGAATATTGCTCTCAGAGAGAAAGTTTGCAAATATTTACCATGCAGGAAATTCTTCAATCAAATATCAAGTTTCAATACAGTTAACACCAGATGTCCCAGCAAAGAACATAAATGTGAAGACTGTGGTAAGAAAGGTCAGTCGTTTTCAGGTGGACCTCTACATAAAATAATGAATCCTGGACTAAAGCCAGAAATTTGTAAAGAATGTGGGAAAGCATTTTGGATTACCTCAACCCTTACCCATCATCACAAAATTCACACCAGACACAAGTTTAATGAATGTGGAAAATATGCTAAAGCTTTTGGCCACTCCTCAAATGCTAATGATAATCATAAAATTCATACAGGAAAGACATTTTTCAATTGTAGTGAATGTGGCAATGCCTTTAGAGAGTCCTATAATCTTCCTGAGCATCACAGAACTCATACTGGTGAAAACTCTCCTATATGTAGAGAATGTTGCAAAGCATATATGAGGTCCTCAAACCTTACACAATCTCAGAAAATTCATATGGGAGTAAAGCCTTATGAATGCGGAAAATGTGGCAAAGCTTTTAGGTGGCCCTCAAATCTTACACAGCACTGGAGAATTCATGGGAAAATGAAGCCTTATATATGTACACAATGTGGCAAAGAATTTTTACAATTTTCAACCCTTAGGTGCCATCAGAGAGTTCATACTGGAGAGAAGCCTTATGAATGTACTCAATGTGGCAAAGCATTTGCAAAATCCTCCAACCTTGTGTGCCATCAAAGAGTTCATACTGGTGAGAAGCCTTATGAATGTACACAATGTGGCAAAGCCTTTAACCAGATCTCAAACCTCACTCAACATCTGAAAATTCACACTGGAGAAAGACCTTATGAATGTACTCAATGTGGCAAAGCCTTTAGACAACAGTCAACACTTACCCAACATCAGAAAATTCACACTGGAGAGAAGCCTTATGAATGTACTCAATGTGGCAAAGCCTTTAGGGGCTTATCAACATTTACTCGGCATCAGAAAATTCACACTGGAGAGAAGCCTTATGAATGTACAAAATGTGGCAAACCCTTTAACCAGATCTCATACCTCACTCAACATCTGAAAATTCACACTGGAGAGAAGCCTTATGAATGTACTCAATGTGACAAAGCCTTTAGACAACAGTCAACACTCACTCGACATCAGAAAGTTCACACTGGAGAAAAGCCTTATGAATGTACTCAATGTGGCAAAGCCTTTAACCAGAGATCAAACCTCACTCGACATTTGAAAATTCACACTGGAGAGAAGGCTTAGGAATATACTCAATGTGGCAAGACCTTTAGGGTCCTGTCAACACTTACTCAACATCAAAAATTCATACTGGAAGGAAGGATTATGAATGTACCCAATGAGGGAAATCCTTTAGACAGATCTTACACCTCACTCCTCATCTGAGAATTCACACTGGAGAGAAGGCTTATTAATGTTCTCAATGTGGCACTCTTTAGCTCAATCTCAACCCTTAATCAACATCAAAAATTTTATACTGAAGAGAAGGCTTATATATGTGAACTATTTGGTAAAGCCTTTTACCTGTATTGTAAACTTTCTCGGCATCAGAAAATTTATACATCAGAGCAAATTTGTAAATGTTGACCATGTGGTAAATCATGTTTACAGCCCTGAAACCTTACTCAACATCAAATAATTCACGAGAAAGGAATGCCTTATACATGTATCTTATGTGGTATTGGATTAACTAGTCCTGAATGCTTATTCATCATAAAATATACTTATACTGTGGTGAAGACTTTTAAAGGTGCATGATGGAATAAAGCCGTTAGCCACTCTGAACCCTTACTAAAGTTCAGAGAATTCATACTGGAAGCAAGATTTGTAAATGTGTGCTAGGTGACAAAATGTTTTGCCATCAGATTGTGAGTACTGGAGAGAAAGTGTACAAAAGTAGTGTATATAACAAGTGTTTTTTTCATCAGAGGTGCCTTACCCAATAGGAGAGACATCCACATGGAAAAAAATTGTTCAAATGTCAAAACTGTGGCAATATTTTAACCTATATACAATTTTTGGACCATTATTCTTGTTACATATCAGAGAAAGTACAGGGAGGTGGAAATCTATATTCATAAAGAGGGAAAATTTTTTGTGAAATTACAGTGTTCCTATAACTCAAGAGAATTTATAGGTGAAAGTTTTTTGAAAGGTGTGAAAATTCAGGAAAGTATATAATGCAAAAGGCAGCTAAAATATCATAATTTAGAGTAGAGAGTTAATGATAGGTTTCAGGTTTTGCTCTAAAGCAGAATATTAGTACAGAGAACTGCACAAAGTTTAAAACCACCAATTGTTACTGTACAGTGTGCTTCAAGATGTCAAGAGGGTGGATTTCTAGTAATGTATAATTACTCAGAATATAAACTATAGTATATTGAGAGCATTTGAAATGTTTTGAGAAAGAAATATGAAACATTTTTTCTTGCATCAGTTGATACTACTATGTTTTTATTGCTGGCGTGAGTGAAATCACTGGTTTGATTGTTGGTTTCTTAACAACCTGTGAAGTCTTGTATAGTAGGTGAACATCACTCACAATTACAGTTGCATGGAAGACTGAGGGCACTATAATGCACGATGTATGAAAAAATCTAATAAAGTTGCTGTTTATAGTTTAACCAATTTTGTTGCATGTTACAAGGGACATCATGCTATTTTCCATGTTTTCTTTTTATTTTCCATGTTACTAAAAACAACTTTATGTCTTAACTTAAAATTTTAACTATGTTTCTATATTTCCCTTGAAGGAAAATGTCATTTGGTTAAAATTCTAATCTTTCTTCATCATAGTCATAGCTGAATATTAGTTATGTGGTTCAGATAAATAAGCCCTCAGTGATATGTGATGTAATAGGGTCAGTTCATCTCTCAGTGCATAACAGTGTTGTACATCCACATGTGCTCAACTGTTAGCCTCCTGTTAGAAACCAAAGAAAACTGCACTCTGGGATTATAACAAGCAAGAACAGTAACACTCCCCAATGATTGCAATGTCTGCTTTGAGAAATGGTAAGACAATTGTATTGTAATTCTTTATTTAGATAATGTGTGAATTGATTATTTTTATTAATAAAGGTGAATTTACTGGAATGTGTTTACATCTCCAACCTCACTGAAGTTTATAGATAACAATTTGTCATTCCATAATATAGTGCAGTTATGGCAGTAGCAGTTGATTTCCTTGCTTTCCTTAGACGTTAAATAATGTGAAAAATTCCCCATTATTGATATATTTCATTGTACCTAATGGAGCATTCCAATAATTACAATCAATGATATGTGGCTTTTGAAGAGTTCAGCTAAGCTACTTTATAATACTGCTGGCATTATTGATACAATTAATTTTGTGTAACTAGGAGCCTTGAACTGCCAGTACCTTCTGCTGCAATTCCACACATACATAACATCTCACAGAGTCACAGTTAAATGTTCCTTCTTGACCTGACTTCCTGGCAGCTTCTTTGAGCAATAGTCTTCCTTCCACCTGAAGCTTTCACCACACATGGCCATTAGATAACATCTCTGCACACTTTACAAATATGTTGGTGTTTTGGTTTATTTTGAACAACTTAAAGTTAGCTCCAAAACCCCAAAGTCCTCTGCACATGACCCTGAATTTTATCAGGTGTCCTGGGATCTTCTGTAGTTTCCCAGCATCCAGCCACATCCTAACTGTAGTCACTGCAGGCCTGCTGTGTATGTCTCCCAGGATCTCTGGGGAATAAAGTTGTCTCTCTTAGTTTTACTTATTGTCTTTTACATAACTGCTGCTCACTATCTGATACCAAAATGCTCTTCTTCACAAATGGTAATTTACTTTTTTTACTATATTTAAAATTATTTATATTTAGAGAGAAGGGAAGGGGGGGTAAGAGAGGAAAAGAAACATCAATATGTTGTTTCCTGCCATGTGGCCACACTGAGGACCTGACCCACAACCTAGGCATGTGCCTTGACTGGGCATCAAACTGGCCACCCTTTGGTTAGAAGCCCAGACTCCACCCACAGAGCTATACCAGGAGGGCAAATGCTACATTTTAAAAGTGGAGACAAATGTTCTTGAAGAACACTAAAATATTTCTTTTAGAGTGCAAACAAGCATGACTTAGGAGTTGTGGTTATTGTTTCTTTGAACATTATTTCACTAAACTTTATTTTTTATAGGTTCACATTATCATGTAGTACATCTTAAACATTCTGTTACAAATTGCCATGTGATAAACATCAAAGACTTTAATTTGCATTAATTTTAGAACCTAAAGGTGGAGTAGTGACATCTAGTTGCTTACTGAATATTCATTATCTTCTTTGTTTACCAAAAATAGATAATTTCTTTCTTTCCCTTTTATTGTTGTTGAAGTACAATGGTCTGTATTTTCCCCCACCACTCTCCTCCACTGTAGCCATTCCCATCTTTCTGTCCTGATTCCACCCACACTTGGTTTTGTCCATGTATCCTTTATAGTTGTTCCTAAAAACCTTTCCCCACTTTCTCCCCATTATCCCCTTCCACTTTTCCTCTGGTTACTGTCACATTGTTCTTAATTTCAATGTCTCTAAGTACTCTTTTTACAATTAGGACAAGGTTTATAATCTTCATCACCTCCCTGTCTTTCATTTATTGTGTAGAGCTGCTATGTTGCTTCCCCTTTGTAGAGTGGACTCCTGTAGTGAGTGCCCTATAGAATCCACTGGCACAGCCTCCCTGTTTACCCAAGCTGGGTGCTCCACTATGCCCTCCTTTCCATTGTGGGCAGTGTACACACTCCCATTGTAGTTTAGCCTTGAATTCTTTTGCACCTTAATGGGTTGTATTTACACCTGGGTCAGTCGACTACGAGGACTGCCAGCAACAACTGACCTTTCACCCCAAGTACTGTGGCACATCTACTGTTCTGGGGTCATTCCCTCCAAGCTAGACTTACTTCACTGTGACTCTGATTATGACTGAGGCTACTTCTTCTGTATGGTACTTAAGGACGTGTTTGCATGGTGCTATCTTGTGAGTGAAGTTCCCTTCCAGATGTCCTAGCTTTGGGATGTCCACCTGTGCTGCCACTTAACCTCTTTCTGGGTGACTTACTTTGAGATACAAAGAGATCTTCAGGTGGCTGCTAATTTAGATTGTCTTAGAGGTGCCCAGAACAAGCCAAGCTTTGTAAAATGGCCTGCTGCTCATGGCATCAGGCCAAGGGCCACACAGCAAGTGTTACAGTATATGTAGAAGACTGATTCAGCCTTTTTGATAGATATTACAAATGTCTGAAGCATGATGCAAGACAAACCAGATGATATGGAATAACCACTGCAAACACTCAGGTACACCTGTAGATTTGGTGGGGCAAGATATCAGAGAATCAGGAGAGCAGAGCTACTAGCTATAGGCAGGTGGTAGGAGACTCAGTTATGGTGCCCATGCTACTGAGTCTCATATTAGTGGTGGACATGCTTTCGTAATAGAAACAATTACCTCTGACAGCACATGTGTCTCATGAGAGCCTCTCCAGCTCTCACCGTGATGCCAGACCCTTCATTTTGTTTCTGCATGTCCAATTGCTGCCAGGATTCTGAAGCTCATGGTAACTGAGTCCTTCTGACTCCGTGCTCATGCCATTTAAAGGGAACACCTGGGTCTCCTGGTACTTGCCTTGTCCATCCACCAATCCCTCACTGGTTTCTACAGCCTGAGGTGATGGGGACTTGCCTTCCCACCAGTGGCGTGTGTGGGAGGGGATTCATGTAAGGGGCTAGGACCCATCATTTCTGAGCAGGCATTTCCTCAGCCAACTTATTTCTCCCGGTTTTTAAATATCACATGGCTGAGAGTTAGTGGCAGCAACAATTTTCATATCTTTGCCACTTCTACCTATTTCCATGTAGCATTTTATTTGCTTGTTTTGGGGACTTCTCTTCAGCTAAATTTCAGCTGATTTGTGAATGAGGGTTGTTCTGTAGTTTAGCTGTAATTCTGATGTGCTCATGGAGCCTTTGAGTATAGTATTTACCTTCTCTGGAATTTTGAGCAAAACTCCTAATCTTTCTCATGTTATATTACACATATATAAGAGTTATTATACATTTCTGTCTACCTCTGCTTAATTTCATTTAGGAGAGTACTCTCAATAGTTCATGGATAAGTGGTAAAAAGTCAACATTTTTTTTCTTGTATGGTTGCATAATACATATTCCATTCTAATGCCTTGTGTATAAAATATCACTGAAGTATTGACTTGTTGTTAAATATCTTGGTTCTTTTTGTGTATTGGCTTTTTTAAATGATGCTCCAATAAACGTTTATGTCTTTTAGGTAGCAAATCAAATATTTTTACATATTTCTTGACTGGGATGTCTTTTTTCAAAGTATATTTTATTGATTATGCTATTACAGTTATCCCATTCCCCCTCACCTTCGTTTTCCTCCACCATGCATCTCTCTCCCGTTTAGATTATGTCCAAGTGTCATAACTGGACTGTCTTGATCAAATGGCTTTTTTTTCTAAAGTAATCTGTGGGGTGTTTACACTCATTCTTCAGTGGATTAAGTAATTTACATTCCCATCAATGGTGTGCTAGGATTCCTTCTTCCATCATGTCACACTTGTCTCTGCTCTTTTTGAGGACACTAGTTGAGGTTTGGACTTGAATTCTCTTCCACAGAAAAGCTGGGACTTGTGACCCTATTAGGAAAAGCATGTTGTTTTGAAAACATTTTCCTGACTTTTTTCTGTTCTCAATGCCATATTTTATTTACAGTTTTAAACCTTTTAAAAAATATTTTTAATGGAATCCAATTTTGCATTATTTTTTTAGGCTATTAGATTTTTTTATTTAGTTATTTTTCAAGTACATTTTTTGTCTATTTCTCCCATCCCAGCCCCCCCCTCGCCCAGTCTCCCCCCTCTCTCCCATTCCCCTCCCCCAGTCCTCATCCCTGTGTCTT